ACACTTGGGTCCCAACTACTTCAGAGCCCTCCCTGGTGGCTGTGGGACATGCTGTTCCCTGGCTCTGTAGTCTCGTTGGTTTGCTCTCAGGTCCAGTGCATGTTGTGCCTCAGGTTGGGTTATTTACAATAAAATAGATGTCCCGAAAGATGTGACACTGCACTAGACATTGATGGGCAAAATGCTGGTCATCCAGGGCAGAGAATATGGAGCTGTTCACCGGGAGCTCTCCCTCCACAGGGGCCACTGGCGCTCTGGGACTGCGTGGGGGCCCTGGCCCCAGCTGGATGGAATGACACTGAACATGCCCTTACCAGTAGCACACGCTGCTGAAAAGCACGGTGGCAACAATGCTGAAGGGGAGGACGTGCAGCACATAGGCCAGCAGCATCTGCCACTTGTGGTACAGGCCGTCCTGACTCTCCTGGTCGCTGACAGCTCGCAGCACAGGGACTGGGGATGGAAGGCAGGTTTTAGAATAGTCACCACACAGCGGAGGGAGGAAGGGCTCACCCAAGCTGAACTTAAGGACCGTGAGGGTTGGAAGGTGAGGAGCAGCTGGGCAGGTCCCCTAGTCATGCAAGGAGGGGACCTGCCATCAGTAGAGCAATAAATACCATTCCCCCCAAATCTACACTCTACCTGAAATGCATTATGGCTGCAAAAGATATCATGATTTATTTCATTCTTTCTAAAGTGGGGAATTGTCACCAATTCAAGAAAAACACATGCCAAGGGGACATGAATGAGTGATTTGAAGCACTTTGTCCCCTTTTTGTGCAGCATCTTGGCCCACCAGCAGCCTGAATTTTATACTTGCTCCACAGGGCCAGGAAAGCCTGGGAGCCTGCAGAGAGCCTGGGAAACTCACCTCTGTGGCTGACTTTGCAGAAGCATCCTCCTTCCCTCTCATTCCCTGAACTTAAGTCTTACATTTAGGGAATCCCATTTCCTGCATACACTAAAACATCGGGCAACCAGATATTGCATCTGGATTCCCACTGAATTTGAAAATTAGGAGCTAACTGTCCTAAAATAGGTTCCAAAAAGAAACTAATGGTGCAAAGTTGGCCTGGGAGCTGGGCCGCCATGTACTGGGCATCCTAATGGCCAAGATGAGATACCAGGGATCATCTTTTGAAAGACTCTTCCTACCCAACTAGTACATCATAACTTCTTGTTTCCCTGGATCCTTAGACCCTCAAAGAGATCCACTTGGTGAGCTAATTCACACTAAGCTGTTAGTAACTTGATAGTTACCTTGCTCCAGTGAATCTGGAGAGGGCCAGGTGTGACTCAGAGAAATAGCCTTATGATGGTGGGCGTCTGTAAGGTCACAGCTGGAGAAGAGAGATACTTAGAGAGAAAGGGGTGCATCTCTTGCACACGGGCACTTACACAGATTCACAGCATTGAGCATGCCTGTGTACGGAGTGGCACCCACGAACTGGTACAGGATACCCACGCGATCCTGTATAGCACCCTTGAGCACATCATTCTGGACTCGTAGGACAAAGAAAATGAGGAATAAACCCATGACCAGATTCTGAAGGAGACGCATCATCACTGCCAACTTATTTCTCAGTAAGTTTCTCGTCACTCTCCTGAAAACCAAATATCCCCACTTTAATACTTTCTAAACATTATTGGGGGGTGTCTAAAGACCCCAAATGGGCCTTGCTTGCATTTTTGAGGCTCTTACCTCAAGAGAACACCCAGTTTAGAGAACACGCCAGGAGAATCTTTGTGTTTGAAAGGAATCATTGGTAATGTTTTCAGGTGTTTTGTTCTTTCAATGTTCTCCAAAGTTTTGTGATAAATGGCTGATTTTTTGTAGGCAGATTCAATCATCTGGACTCTCCTGTAGGTTTCTATTTCCCGTTCTTTGCTTTGGGTATCCACTGATGTCAGGTCCACTAAAATTTTTTCCCAAAAAGATATCACCCATATGTGTTTAAAAGTACATATACATGTGCATGCCAGGGATAATGTTTCCCCATTGATACAGGAGCACTAGCCATAATATCCCATCAGAATAAAACTGGTTATTAATGCCCACTTATAAAATCAGAATATTTAAGGCTACCCAGCAGGGCCATGAGGATCCTACTGGGAGTGTCTAGGAGGATCCAGAAGCTCAGCTGATTTTTTTCTGACAAAGCAGGAGTGCACCAAGTGCACTACTCTCTCTCTCTCTCAACAGAGATCCCTCACCTCATTTTTGGTTTTGTTTTTTTTTTAGAAATAAGAGTCTCATTTTGTCACCCTCGGTAGAGTGCCATGGTGTCACAGCTTACAGCAACCTCCAGCTATTGGGCTTAGGCTATTCTCTTGCTTCAGCCTCCCGAGTAGCTGGGACTACAGGTGCCCACCCCGACACCTGGCTATTTTGTTGTTGTTGTTGTTGTTGCATTTTGGCAGGGCCGGGTTCAAACCCACCACCCTTGGTATATGGGGCCGATGCCCTACTCATTAAGCCACAGGCATCGCTCCTTTTTTTTTTTTTTTGAGACAGAGTCTCACTCTGTTATCCAGGCTAGAGTGCTGTGGTATCAGCCTAGCTCACAGCAACTTCAAAGTCCCGGGTTCAAGAAATTGAAGAAAATTCCTGCCTCAGCCCCTAGAGTAACTGGGACTAAAGGTTCCCACCACCATGGCTAGATAATTTTCTTTAGCAGAGATGGGGTCTCACCCTTGCTCAGGCTGGTCTTGAACTCCTGAGCTCAAGCAATCCTCCCAGAGTGGCCTCCCAGAGTGCCCCACCTCATTTTGATAAGTGAAAAGTATAAAACACCAAAACAAAAGTAAAAATAAAACCCCATAGCACTGGTGTTATCCAGGCAGAAATGTGAGATGAGAATGTTTAAAAAAATTCACAATGGGGAACGTGAGAGAAAAACTTACTACAGAAGTCAAAAGGGTTTGAGTGTTCAGGACAAGGGTAACCGCAGCCGTTGAAGAAATCAAGCATTTCCCCTGGCGTACCACAGAAAACCAACTCTCCGAAGCTCAGGACGGCGATCCTATCAAAGAGCTGATGGGACAACAGAGGGAGTTAGTGTGTGATCAGGTCCCCATGTCCTTGTGGGAAATACATTTCCAAGCATCAGTCCTTTGATTGCTTTGTCCTTGTGTCGGTATTCCTGGGCACACTCCAACTCGTCAGCCTGGGCTGGCACTGAAGACCATGCTGCATCCTGGCCTGAGGTCCACAGAACCTCAGGGCAGAGAACAACTGCTGGGCCTGAGTCTATGTCCCAGCCATGCCAAGGAAGTGACGTTGGCCAAGCTGGGGTGGCTGTTTGTCTTGTTTTTGTCATAAATCTCAGATGCTTGTCTATAAAAAGCAAATAATAGGTAACTAAAAAGATATTGGGCAAAGATTTTCGGAAGGAAATCTATATGGTTTAATGGGAAAATATAGCCTTTGAAGCCAACTCCATTGTGAATGCCAATTTTAGCATTTTTCTTTTTTTTCTTTTGAGACAAAGTCTCACTAGGTTGCCCTGGGTAGAGTGCCATGGCATCACAGCTCACAGCAACCTCAGACTCTTGGGCTTAAGTGATTTTCTTGCCTCAGCCTCCCAAGTAGGTGGGACTACAGTCGCCCACCACAACGCCAGGCTATTTTTTGTTGTTGTTGCAGTTGTCATTGTTGTTTTAGCTGGTCTGGGCAAGGTTTGAACCTGCCAGCCTCAGGGTATGTGGCTGGCATCCTACCCACTGAGTTACAGGCGCCACCCTCTAGTTTTTTACTGATAGTGGCTCATTTTTGAATCATTTATATTTCACTTTTTTCTTTTCTTTTCTTTCTTTCTTTTTTCTTTTTTCTTTTTTTTGAGACAGAGTCTTACTTTTTTACCTTGGGTAGATTGCTGCTCACAGCAACCTCAAACTCTTGAGCTGAAGTGATTCTTTTGCCTCAGCTCCCCCTGAGTAGCTGGGATGACAGGGGCCCACTGCAACACCTGGCTATTTTTTTTAGAGACGGGGTCTCGCTCTTGTTCAGGCTGGTCTTGAACTCCTGAGCTCAAGCAATCCACCTGCCTCAGCCTCCCGGAGTGCTGTGGGCATGAGCCACCGCACCTGGCTCATTTCACTCTTCCCTCTGTACAGTGGATATACTGATATCCATCTCACAGGACAGAACTGCTGTGCAGATTAAACGAGCCAGAGCACAGAAAGTATCTGGAAATGGGAGGGGCTGAAAGAAGTGAGTTTCCATTCTGTACACTTCTCTCAGGAGCTGCTGGTTCCAATTGTTCTTGCACTAACCCTGCCCCTGCCCCTACCATTGCCAGCTCAGCACCACATATACCCACCATTGCCAAGGTGAGCCCCTTACCTGGAAGAGCTCGGAGCGGGGCTGGTGGATGGTGAGCACCACGATGCGATTCCTGCGAGCCAGCTCTGCCAGCAGGGCAACTATCTGATTTGCAGTCATGCAGTCCAGGCCGGTGGTCGGCTCATCAAACAGCATGATCTCTGCCAGCAAGGAGGGGCCAGACTTCTGAGCCACTGCAGAGCCCAGGCTGTATGCTTAAGGCTCAGGTTTTGAACAGTCCCTTATTAAGCTGTTGTACTCCATTCAAATGGGGTTTGGTGACAAGTGGCTCCTAATAAACTGACTTTTAGCCTGACCCTGGGAGGATGGACCTGACTCGGGAGGGCCTACATCCCAGCTCCACAGCACATTTGGGCCTGAATCCTTGAGGGGATGAGGGCTCGGTGACATCAAGCCTCTGGCAGGGTATTGTGGACTGTCTGCGCTCTGCCCAGGGGACCTTGACAGGGAATAAGAGCTGACAGCTGACACCAGCTGTCATACACCTGTCAAACCAGTTGTTTTGAAAAGGCTGAGAATGGCTC